TCAGTGTCTCTATTTCTTTAGTTTGACGCTACTTTCTAGTTCAAGCTATTAAACTAGTTTTATAAGTTTTGGTTCTCAATTAAGTCTTGAACTATTTTACGTTACCGTGATTCGATATTAATGGAATTGTTATACTATAGTTAAGTCACTATTGCAGAAAGAGGAGAGGAGAGAAAAAGGGAAAGGAAGTAATTGAATCTCATAATTAAAATACTAATAATGAATTATATATGAAGAGAGGCGGTAGAGAATAGGGAAATAGGAGAGAGGAGAAAAAAGAAAAAATGATGTAACTAAATTTTCTAATTTAAGGCACTAAATTATTATAAATTGTAAGCAATCATTTTTTAGGGAGGGCAATAAACAAAATTAGGGAAATTTTAGTAAATAAGTATCAAATATAGGAACAAAAAATCTATTTTTTTACAAAGTCAAAAGACAAGTTTGGCTACCGTTCTTTTCTTTTCTTATTACATACAAGTTAATATAGGCGGAATATATCCGGAGACACTTAAAGTTAGCACCATTTATTATTTAGATACCTAAACTTAAGGTTGTTCATATTGAGCCCTTATACTACACTAAACGTTTCCAATGCTGAGTTGACACATAGAGTGAGCTTCACCCAAAATAGGCGAGTGAAGAGCCCAAAAACATATTTTATCTTCATTTTTTCTGATTATTTCTTTCTTCTTCTTCTTCTTCTTCTTTTCTCTCTGCCATCACTTCCACCATTGTCTCCCCCATTTTCACCATTGTTGTGCTTCCACAATTAATTTACTTCGCTTAAAAGTAATCAAAATCAATCTTGCCCTACTTAACAGCTAGACATCCCATAGATATGGACTTATGCTCCTTTACATTCTTGTTTTCTATTCTTATGAAATTAAACAAAAGAAAATTGTCTCATTTCCTTAGCTAATAATGGTGGAGAACCGTATCAGTTTATTAAAATCGAAGTAAGAACCGTATTCTTCATTTGAAGTCAAAACACCATTAATGGGCTCTTTAAGAAAGCTTGAAGGTTTAAAATGGGTTACTTGATTTGATGAAAAATTGAGAAATTAATATTGGGGTTGTCTTCGAGTCTTAGTCGGGAATCTTTAGTTGAAGTTATAACAAATTTAGAGGAGTTTCTCTTGAAATTTTGGATTAAAATCGCGGTTGGAACAAGAATAGACATGAAGATAGTGAAAAACACCAAGAACAATATGATTTCAAAAACACCAATGTGTCCTTTTTTTGTCTTTTCTTTTGTTAATAATGTGTCATTTTTTATTGGGTGTAAATTAAATATTTTTTCTTTTTGAGAATGTTATTTTATTTTGTTAACTAAATAGATTTTAAAATAGTTTTTTTTTTTAACTCAAAATGATATATGTTCCTTTTTTATTTGTCATTCGCTGCGTCAGCCATGAGTGCATTGCACACACTTTGTAAGTTTGGCTAATTCTCAAAATAGTGCCTAATTGGAACAAGTTAAGTGTATTATAAGTGCTCAATAGGAACAGTCTTCAGTTTAGGTGTCTAAATGGAAAATGGTGCCAACTTTAAGTGTCTCCCGATGTATTCGCCTTTAATATACCACGTAAAACTATGCATGTATGTAAACACATTCGTTAACTGCTATATATATATATATATATATATATATATATATATATATCGTTGAGAGACCATGTCGTTTAAGAAGATTTACTGAACGGAGTGAAAACAAAACAGAGAAATTAACTTAAATAAAAATCAACCAAAGAAACAGTCAAACATATATAACTGATAACAAAACAAACCTAAAGTAAAACTTTATGTTTCTGAATCCAAAGGACTAGTCACTCTCCTAGACGTCCAAATCATAGGAAAATTTTCCAGATTCCCATCCCTCCTTCATTGTTGAAGTAAACTGCCAAAGGAATCTCACACAGGGCTTAACAATAAAGATGAAACACCATAACCATAAGAATAACCATACAAGTGCGATGCCCACCCTTCAGGCAAATTCATATTGATACAGTTAAAAATGAGACAAAGAAGCTTTTGTGAAACAAGAGAATTAGCTGAAGGTATGTATTTTCATTTATAGAATTAGCTGCATATATATACAAATGCTAAGAATCAATCTAAGCCTAATTTTAAGCTTCCATAATTGTGATCCACATTCTGTGGGATTTGATTTATAATTAATAAGGAAAGTGAACATACTATATTAACACAATATATTTCTTAACACTCCCCCTCAAGTTGGAGAGTGAATATCATGAAGTCCCAACTTGTTGCGTAGTGTCACAAATTGATCCTTTCCCAAGGCCTTTGTAAAGACATCTGCCAACTGGAAGTGTGTCGGTACATATGATGGACTAATCATTCCAACTTGCAGTTTTTCGCGAACTATGTGACAATCTATTTTAATATGTTTAGTGCGTTCATGGAAGACGGGATTCGCTGCAATATGCAAAGCAACTTGATTGTCACAGAATAGTTGTGTAGGAGCCGCTTGTGGGACTTTTAGATCTTGCAGAATGTAACGTAACCAAGTAAGCTCCAAGCATGTATTAACCATTGCTCGATACTCTGCTTCGTGGATGATCTTGAAACATTTGATTGTTTCTTGGATTTCCATAAGATAAGGGAATTACCAAGAAAAATGCAATATCTTGTAACTGATCTTCTTATGGCACGACAACCTCCCCAGTCTGAATCACAAAAGGCTTTTAAAGTGAGATTATTGTAGGAAGAGTATAATAAACCTTGTCCTGGAGTACCCTTGATGTATTTGAGGATCCGTAAAGCAGCATCCCAGTGAGTCTTTCGAGGCTCATGCATGTATTGACTTAATGTATGAACAGAGTACACTATGTCAGGTCTCGTAACCGTAAGATATATCAATCTGCCAACTAATCTTCTATACTTGGTTGGATCATTTAATAATTCTCCATCAGTGGGAGTAAGTTTCAGATTTTGTTCCATTGGAAACTTGTCTGGGCGTGCTCCTAGTTAGAATTTTGTAAAATATGTAATGCATATTTTCTTTGAGACATGAAAATACCTTTATGTGATCGAGAAAATTCAATACCCAGAAAATATTTCAAATTTCCAAGATCTTTGATACTGAAGCGTTTGAGAAGAAAGCTTTTGAGACGCTCGATTTCATGAAGATCATTTCCTGTGAGAAGTATATCATCAACATAGACAAGGATTGCAGTAAATGAAGTACCTTGAGCCTTGAAGAAAAGAGAATAATCGGCTTTTGATTGTTCATAACCAGCCTTTTGAATAGTTTCTGAAAATATAAGAAACCAATTTCTTGATGCCTGTTTAAGACCATATAGAGATTTGTGTAGCCGACATACAACATTCTCTCCCTGTCGGCAAAGACGGGTGGAGGTTCCATATACACTTCTTCATTCAAGTCACCATGAAGGAAAGCATTTTGGACATCTAATTGGTAAGCAAACCAATTGCGCCCGGCAGAAACAGTAAGAAGGCAACGAAGTGTAGTAAGTTTAGCCGTTGGAGAAAAGGTTTCTTGATAATCAATACCCTCTACTTGAGTGTACCCTTTAGCTACAAGACGAGCCTTATATCGATCAATTGTACCATCTGATTTGTACTTGATTTTGTAGAATCATTTACATCTGATGGCTTTATGGCCAGCAGGAAGAGGTACCAAACTCCATGTATTGTTTTGTTGGAGTGGTTCTAATTCTATATTCATGGCTTGTTTCCAGTGAGGATCAATAACAGCTTGTTCATAAGTGGTATGTTCGGTATGACATGTAATGTTAGCTAAAAAGGTACAATGTGCAAATGACATATGAGAGTATGAAATATAATGAGAAAGAGGATAACGAGTACATGATTCAGAACTTGCTATCGAGTTGGAATGATTGGCTTGTAATGACAGTATGTAGTCTTTATGCCATGTCGGAGGTTGCTTAACACGGAGGGATTGTCTTGCCGGAGCTATAGAAGGATCTATAGAGTTGGAAACATGTGTTGTCAACCTGGTTGAGGGACTAAGTGCACTGTCAGGTGCACTAGTAGGTTCAGCTAGAGGTAAAGTTGCAGAAGTTGTAGGTTGGTCATGTGAATTATCTGATGCTTCAGTGAGTTCGGGTGGATTCAATGGTTTAGGAGATATAGTACAATTATCTGTATCAAAACACTCAACATGTTGAGGTTGGTGAGATGAAATGTTAGTGGAAGATGATGGTATATGCTGCAAATTTTCTATGAGGTATGAAGAAAAACTATGCATTACAGAATCAAGATTTGATGATATTGAGAACGGAAAAGTGTTTTCTAAAAATTTAACATCTCGGCTCACAAAATATTTTTTGTCCAAATCATAAAGTTTGTAGCCTTTTTGACCTGTAGGATACCCAACAAAAATACAACATTTGGCACGAGAATCAAATTTATGAGTGGGATGAACAACTGTGGCGTAACAGAGACAACCAAAAACTTTCAAATGATCAAGTGATGGTGTATGATTATACAATAATTCAAAAGGTGACTTGGAAGATAATAATGGCGAAGGAAGTCTATTGATAAGATAGACCGCGGTCAACACGCATTCGCCCCAAAAGGTGAGAGGTAAGTGAGATTAAAAACGCAATGCTCTCGCAACAACTAAGATATGACGATGTTTACGTTCAACTACTCCATTTTGTTGAGGAGTTGAATGCAAGTTCATTGACATTCGATACCTTGCGACTGGAAAAAAAATTTCATGGATAAAATTTCTCCGCCGTTATCTACTCTTATGGTTTTTGACTGAGGCATCAAATTGAGTATGAGCAAATGCAATAAAAGATTTTACTAGATATTGGGTATCAGACTTTTTTTTTCATAAGAAATACCCAAGTGCACCTTGTAAAATCATCCACAATAGTAAGAAAGAAACGTGCCCCTGAATGTGTAGGGGCCCTATGTTGACCCCAAATATCACAATATAAAAGATCAAATGGATTATGAGTTGATATTGAACTTGATGAAAATGGAAGTCTAGTTTATTTGGTCATAGGACAAACAGTACAATTATTCTCAAAAGATTCATTATAAGAAGGCAATGATGGAGAAACTAATTTAAAACGAGATGGTGACGGATGGCCAAGGCGCATGTGCCATAAATTCGAGGGTTGAGAAACTTGATGAGAGGCGGGCATCTTTTGCAAGGGAGACATGTAATAGAGGCCACCACGCTATTTACCCAAGCCAATCATCTTCCCCGTAGCCAAGTCCTGTAAAGTACAGAAAGTGAAAAACAACATGGCACAACAATTCAAAGCATTAGTGACTTTTCTTGCAGACATCAAATTTAAGCGAAAAGAGGGAACGCATAAAACATCATTTAAGGTGATCTCTGAGTTGTAAGGTATAGTGCTTGTGCAAGTGATAGTAGCTGAGGATCCAGTGGGTAATTTAACAATTGGTATTGACAGGGATTCTGTTTTGGTAAAAAGTGTGGAATCAGAAGCTATATGATCAGTAGCTCCACTATCCAAAATCCATGATTTACTAAATATGGAATTAATTGAAACATTTGGAAAAAAGAGAAGAACCTGCTGTATTTGCATAAGTATCGGCATTACCAGTAACATTATTTTGTGTCATCATAGATAAAGCACGAGCAATTTATTGAAGTTGACTTGTAGAAAGTCCATGTGAAGAACTGTTGTTCTCTTGAGTATGAATACCATGTGAAGTTTGGGAAGAATCCATAGCATTAGCAGATGGAAAGGTATTGTGCAAATTACCTTGGCCCCTACGTGAGGGTTGCTGGCCATTTTGGTTGTTTGATTTGTTTGAAGCCCAAGTGCCATTTTTAAACTTAAATCTATCTTCTATATGGCCCTTTTTGTCACAATAATTGCAATGAAATTTCAGAGTTCTGCAATTTTTAATTGTATGTCCCTCTCTGTTGCAGTGTTCACAATACTTACTTTTGAACTTGTTTGAAAAATTGATTGGAAGACTTTGAACTGTAGCAGCAATGGAAAAATTTTCAATTGATTCCGAAGACATACCTCGTTGCGTTTCTTCTTGTATAACAAGAGAGTAGGCTTGACGTACATTCGGTAATGGAGACATCATGAGAACATTTGAACGGACAACATTGTAAGTGTCATTGAGGCCCATGAGAAATTGCATTACGCGATCTTCTTCCATCTGTTCACCATGTCCTTTCATCTGGTTGCAAGTGGGGATAGATCGATGCGTGTCTAATTCATCCCAAAGACCTTTGAGTCTTATAAAATATGCAGAGACCGACATTGTACCTTGTGAAATAGATGCCAATGACTTTTGGATCTGATAGATAGCTGGTGCATTCTTTTGCGAGAATTGATCTCCAAAATCCTCCCATACTTGATAAGCGGTCTTAGCATGAATGACTCCTTTGGCTAGATCGGGCTCTACTGAATGTGTAAGCCAAGATAGAACCATGTTGTTACATTGATTCCATTGCGCATATTCTATTGGTTGTTCCGTCTCTAGAGGTGGTTTGATAGTTCTGCTGATAAAGCCAATTTTATTCTTGGCTGTGAGGGCATGTATCATGGATTTACTCCATGATGGATAGTTGGTGCCGTTCAGTTTCACTGGAACGAGCATATCATTGGGGTGATCTGAAGGATGAACAAAATATGGATTAGATTGGTCCAAACCAACGCTTTGCTGGATGGTTTTTGAAGTATCAGATTGGTAGATTGGTGTTTCGTCTTTGTCGTTCACCATTTTCTCGAGAAAATGGTGGCTGCTCTGATACCAAGTTAAAAATGAGACAAAGAAGCTTTTGTGAAACAAGAGAATTAGCTGAAGGTATGTATTTTCATTTACAAAACTAGCTGCATATATATACAGATGCTAAGAATCAATCTAAGTCTAATTTTAAGCTTCCATAATCGTGATCCACATTCTGTGGGATTTGATTTACAACTAATAAGGAAAGTGAATATACTACATTAACACAATATATTTCTTAACAGATACCAATTCTTGAACCAATCTTTCCAATAATCTATCGTCAAACTAATCAGCGTTACTCCAATTGTAAAGTACATAAGCATACCTGGATTTTCTAGCAAGTCGAATATCTTGTCCAATATTGACACAATCATACTGGGGAATTTATCGGTATATATTTGCTTTAAATTTCTCTTTGTATCTTCATCGCGTATAAAGTAAAGGAACCATACGTATATAGACCAAAACACTAAAAAGTCGAATACACACCTCTTGGCCTTAATCGGCATAAATTGCTCACCACCAGGCGTGTCGAAAAATGGCGAAAATAACAACTAAAGAAGTTTAAAACACATACAAGACGAGATGAGAAACCTCTCTGCAGCATCCAATGGATCCCTATCTGTATTCATGTTGGCCTAGATATCACTGAGCAAACGAAATAAAAATAAACGAAATATGAATGAATACGAAGAATTGAACCAGCTAGGGTTTAAATACTTTCGAGAAATTTTGAAACCAACTAGGATTAGGTTTTGGAGCCTCGACATGCACCAATTCTTCATAAGAAATAGGAATATTTATCTTATTATTGGTTGTCTCTTAATTAGAAGTAGTGTTTGAAAAGGAAAAGGATTGTTTAACGCCAGCAGCTTAGGATAGAATAACATGAAATACTTATACATGAAGAGAGTTACTAATAATATCATCCCTAATTCTGGAGAGGGAAAATACAATTAGAATAGCATAAATATTAACTTAAATTAAGTAGGGTTATTTTGGTATATATTTTTTTCAATGGATATTTTTGCCAAAAGAAAAATTAAAAAGCAACTTCTGCTTCTGGTGAGAAGCTAATTCTTTTCACCTTCTGAGAAAGAGCTCGTGCTTATACCCAAAAATACTTATTTTTTTGTACAAAAGATTTGAACAAACGCTTTAACTTTTTAAAATAAGCATTTTTTAAAAGAAAAATAAATACTTTTGACCTTCTAAGAATTTGACCAAATAGGCTATAACTTTTCGTATGATTTACAATAGTACAATGATCTTCCTTATTTGTATATATGTATTATATACAGTAATTTAAAAATATAACAAAATTAATACAGAAACGTATATAAATATGCCAAATATCATGCCCCAAACAAGTAATTAATTGCACCGCATGGCAACTTCGATATTCCCAACAATTTTTCGAACCAAAATTACTTGGGATATACAATAAATTTGCGTCGAGAAATTAAAATCAAGACCCAAATATATTGCAAAAATCGTAGTATTTTATTTCAAATATTTGAGTGTAACAATCTCTATGAATCCTCCGATTCTTCTTTCCAACAGTAAATAAAAGAGCTTTTGAGAATAATCTTGAATTTTATTTTATTTTAATCCAAGTGCTTGAGGCCTGATCTTGATCTTGACGTATTTTTAATCCAAGGGCTTGCAGCTTGTTCGTGAATCTTCGTCTTGATCTTTTAATCTTTAGAACACTTGAACGCTTGTAGCTTTTGGAGAAATCTGTAGCATTTGATCCACAGGCTTTCTTTTGCTTCTTGTTATAACTTCTTGTGTCTTTTCTGGGTTATGAAGACCTGTATTTATAGTTATGGAAGGAAAGAGTTATGATAAGAACAAACTATTTCCGACCAATCAAATTGAAGTGTGATATTTCATTGGTTAGAACATGTAACTTGTGTAACGACCCGACCGGTTGTTTTGAGCTCTAAGACGTCGTTTGGTAGTTTGAGGTCATGAGCAGCTTCACTTCGGGTATTATGACTTGTACGCATGGTCGGAATTGGAGTTTCAGAAATACAGAGTAGATTTGGAAAGAAAATTCTCATTTCAGAAGCCTTAAGTTGTAAGAATTGACTAAGGTTGGATATTTGAGTAAACGACCTCGGAATCAGGATTTAAAGGTTCCAACGGGTTCGTATGAGGATTTTAGACTTGGGCGTATGTCCGGATCTGATTTTGGGTGACCTGGGAGCGTTTCGGTGCCTATTAAGGAAGTTAGCATTTTGGAAGAGTTTCATAAATTTGTGTTGAAGTGCATCTCAATGTTTTCGATGTCTGTTTGGAATTCCGAGTCTAGGAACAGCTCCGTATGGTGATTTTTGTATTGGGAGCATGTCCGGATATGGATTTGGAGGTCCGTAGGTCATTTTGGAGTCATTTGGCGAAATTTTAAAATTTGAAGGTTTTGAGAGGTTTGACCGGAAGTGGACTTTTTTATATTGGGGTCGGATTCTGATTTCGAAAGTTATAGTAGGCCCATAATGTCGAATATAACTTGTGTGAAAAATTTGAGGTCAATCGGACGTGATTTTATAGGTTTCGACATCGAATGTAGAAGTTTGAAGTTCTAAAGTCCATTAAGTTCGAATTGAGGTGTGATTCATTATTTTGATGTTGTTTAATGTGATTTGAGGCTTCGAGCAGGTCCGTGTTATGTTGTGGGACTGGTTTGTGTGCTTGGACGGGGTCATAGGGGCCTCGGGTGTGTTTCGGGATGGTTCCAGATCATTTCAGGTAGTTTTGGACTGTTGTTACTGTCTGGTTTCGTTCATCGCGATCGCGAAGGGTGTCTCACGTTCGCGAAAAAGAATTTGAGGCAGCTGGGTTTTGGCCTTCGCAAACGCGGAGGTTTGCCTAAGGAAGCATATGCGAACATGACACAGGGGTCGCGAACGCAAAGAAGGAAACTGAGTGGGAGCCTGGAGTAGTTTGGACTTCGCGAACGCGGAGCTACAGCCGCGAACGCAAAGCAGTGGTGTCTGCAGCCTTCGCGAACGTGATGATTTGATCGCGAACGCGAAAAAGGGGGCCTGGCTTGGGCAGATTGTTTGAAAGACGTGATTTGGCCATTGTTCCTCCATTTTTCATTTGGTTAGGCGATTTTTGGAGCTCTTGAAAGGGAGGTTTTCATCATCTATATCAATGTAAGTGATTCCCACTTATTATATGCTAAATACATGGTTTGTATAAGGATTTAAACTTGGAAAATCATGAGAAATTAGTGGAAATTTGGGATTTTGAAGAAAAATCTAGAAATTGGTATATTTGGATTTTGACCACGAATGTGGGCATGGAATAGAGAATAAATTATATATTTGAGATCGTGAGGTTATGGGTAAAGTTTATCTTCGAAAATTTTCGGAATCCGGGCACGTGGGCCCGAAGGTGATTTTATCAACTTATCAAGCGGAAGGAATTTGTTTAAATTAAATTGATGTAAGTATTAGAGTAAACATTTATGTATTTGCTCATTTATTGACTAGTTTTGGAGTGTTGGACATCGATTTGAGTTGATTGAATTATTTGGTAGCTGATTATGGAACTTCAGAGCGAGGTGTGTCTCCTTTCTAACCTTGTAAGAGGGAATTAAACCCATATATGAACTAAATCAATATGTGCTTCTATTTGTGAGGGCTACGTACGCACGAGGTGCCGAGAGTCCGTGCGTAGCGACTATTATGCTTATGTTCGGGTAGACTAGGACCCAAAAGCATGCTATACTTGAGATATTTGTAACCTTATTGTAAATTTAAATTTCTTAAATCATATTGAACTTGGTAAATGAATTTCTAAAAGGTTAAACTTCATTTTCTTGACCGTTAAAGGAAGATTGCCATTTCCTTGGATAATTGCTCCTTGATGAATTCTTGATTTACTATTTGAATGTGTTTTCCTTTTGTGGAACGAGTCGAACGCCTCGACAGATTAAATATATGCATCTATGGTTCGTGTCATTTGACCCTCTGGTAGTGCACAGTTTAAATATTATGTTGGATCAGGTTGTACGACCTCGACATGAATTGCACATGACTTAATTGATTGTCTTGAAATTATTGATAATTGATGTGGCCTCATTGGCCGAAGATATTAATTATTAAAAGATAAAAATAAATTTGGAAAATATCCTATTAACAAAAGAATTATTTATCTACTTCATGCTATTGAGTTTACATTCGTCTTATAAAATACAAGATTAACTATATTATAGGTATATTATTGTTGGCCATAGTAAGTGTCAGAGTCGACCTCTCGTCACTACTTCTTCGAGATTAGACTAGATACTTATAGGGTATGCGTTGTTTTCGTTCTCATATTACACTTGCTGTACATTTTATTGTACAGGCACCTGTATGGCTAGTGGCTTAGTGGGAGCAGCGCCATGGTTGACACGGGGACATAGGTGAGCTGCATCTCATATTACAATCCGCAACCAGCAGAATCTCCTTCAGAGTATTTGTATTTTTTCTGTCCCAAATTTTTATTCTGAATAGTTATTGTATTTTATTTTCTAATAAATGCTCATTCACTTGTGACACCGGGTTATGGGATGATTATGGGATATTCAGTATTGAAATTTAGAAAAATATTATTATTTATTCTGTAAATTTCATCTTTTAACTGGTTAAATCGAAGGAAAATTTATAATTTCAAAAATATTAAAATGAGAATTTAATTAACTATTTAGTGCTGGCTTACCTGACAGTCGTGTCCGGCACCATCACGACCTTTAATGGACTTTGGGTCGTGACAAAATGGTATTAAAGCACTAGGTTTACTTAGGTCTCACGAGTCATGAGCAATACAGGGACGTTTGTACTTATATTTGAGAGGCTATAGCGATGTTAGTAGCACTTCCCTTCTTCATTCCTCATCGTGCGATTTGATTCCTTTGAGGCTTATGCCTTTTTTATTTCCTATTCAATCTTATACGACGTGGACCGCTTGTTGTAAATCTGGAATTGAAGAATTGTAATGGCACTACAGAGGTGGTGTAGGATGTTTTCCCCTGCGTATTTGATTGAGCTATTGTCGTCGCCTTGCGAAAGGACGTCCTGTCATTTCAGCTCAGTATCAGTATTACCTATGGTTTTAAGATTTATCATTGATTGTTATGACGATTCGTGCATTGCTATCGCACAGTATTCGTATAATAGTAGGATGCTTAGGATGCTCGTCTATGCGTTGAAGTAGTAAATGACTTGGAAGGATGTTTACTCAATGCAAGATTCAGAGATTCGGTATTTTATTTCTGGTGGAGAAATGGCAATCGAACTATGAATGTTCAAGTTTGGGTTGATGGAGTAACGAGACTTAGTATGTTCGAGCGTGGTGGAATTTTTATCTGTGACGAGGTGTCGTCATCCTTGTTTAAATGTGTGAAGTTCGCCGGTGTTATGGTCTCCTTCAATTCACCTATGAGGAAGAGTATTGCGAAATGGTGCAGGGGAAGTGGTTGTTAGAGATCGCAGTGTGCAGTTGTTCAGGATCGATTTGGTGTTCCTAGTATTGGTGGCTCGAGAAAGATAATCGTTGGAAGGGTCTAAAGTTGGTAGCGACCTATTGATTCAAGTGCTACAGAGATGGATGTATGATTTAAGGCAACAATTGGGTAGTGAAGGATAAGGAAGGACATGTGGGAAGTGTCATATGATGGTTAAATTTCTAGAAGGCCAGGTGTAAGAAGCAGAAGTCGAGTAGTTGCTTAAAGGACAAAGTTTGACCAAAGTAGGAGATTGGCAGAGTAGCA